TAAATGAAAAAACTGCTTAGCAATCCAGAGCTAGACAAAAATTAATTTCTTAAAGGTACAATAAGATAATTTTACCACGAGTTATGATTTTAAGTCATTTATACTAATAATATCTTACGTACTGAGGTACTCTGGAATCAGCTCCTCACAGTTGTCCATGATGAAAACCCTGCGCACATACAGCTTGATGTTGTTTCGCTTTTTTTTGTTTTCAAAGAGGTCAAATGCCGCTCTTCTTGGCACAAAGAGCAGGGCACGGAACTCCAGCTGACCTTGCACAGAGAAATGCTGCAGAGATAATAGCAAAGAAAGAATTTATTATTTTAAAATATTCTGTGATAATAACATTTGCAAAGCTGTGTTTGGGTGGTTTTGGTATATTTAGCTTACCTTGACAGCCAGATGGTCCTCCCAGTCATTGGTGAGACTCTTGTAGAACTCACCATACTCTTCATTGGTGATGTCATCTGGGTTGCAGGTCCAGATAGACTTGGTCTTGTTCAGCTCCTGAGCATCAATGCGCTTTTCCTTGACCTTCTTCTTCCTCTTGTTCTTGCTTTCCTTTGTGTCCTCATCCTCATCAGAGCCCACATCTTCAATCTTCAGTTTGTCCTTGTTCTCAGCAGCATCTTTCTCAACTTCTTCTTCCTTTTCCCCCTCCTCAAGGTTCATTCCTTCTCTCTTGTCTTCTCCACCTTTGGTAAATGAAAAGAGTGATGGTTTTATTTTTGTGTTCAGGGTGTCAATATAATTGTTAACAGCGGTTTTTAGAAGTTTGAGTGTTATTGCTAATGGGACTTTATAAGAACTTACAAAAAGTGTAATAGGGTAGCCGATGAACTGTGAGTGCTTCTTTACAACTTCTTTGATGCGCTTCTCCTCACAGTATTCTGTCTGGTCTTCTTTGAGGTGGAGGATCACTTTTGTGCCTCTGCCAATGGGCTCTCCTAAAAGTAACAATAAAATTAATGAGGAGACCAGCACCAAATAATGAGTAAAATAATATTCATTAAAATGATTGATTAGAGCAATAAATCAATACGGGCAGTAAAACTTACCACTGTCAGGTTTGACTGTAAATGAGCCTCCAGCAGAGGATTCCCAGACATACTGCTCGTCATCGTTGTGCTTGGTGATTACTGTCACCTTCTCGGCCACCAGGTAGGCAGAGTAGAAACCCACACCAAACTGACCGATCATGGAGATGTCAGCTCCAGCCTGCAGAGCCTCCATGAAAGCTTTAGTGCCAGACTTGGCGATTGTGCCCAGGTTGTTGATCAGGTCAGCTTTGGTCATGCCGATACCAGTGTCAATAATGGTCAGGGTACGTGCATGCAGGTCAGGCCTGATTTCAATCTTCAGGTCCTTGCAGGAGTCAAGTCTGCTGGGGTCTGTCAAGCTTTCATATCTGATTTTGTCCAAGGCCTGTCAGGAAGGGATAAGTATGTTAAAATGATGTTTGCATAGATACAAGAGCATATAGATAGGAGTAAATTATGATAAATTCCTGATTTTACTTACATCTGATGAATTGGAAATGAGCTCTCTAAGGAAGATTTCTTTGTTTGAATAGAAAGTGTTGATAATAAGGGACATCAGCTGAGCAATCTCAGCCTGGAAGGCAAAGGTCTCCACTTCCTCCTCCATAGCATGCCCAGCACTCTCAGGCATCTAAAGGAAAATACATTTGTTTAATAAAAACTGTTTCTCATGCTAAAGCATACTATTTAGCTTTAACATATTATATATATTAGAAATGTTTTGGGTTGTTATATTTAAAATCTGTTCATTCTTCTTCATACAGAGAACCTCATGGCTCAAGGGCCGTGACTCTTGCTGAGATTAGCTGAACAGATGTTCCTTGTGTCAATCAAAGACTTGCCATTTGGAAAATGGGTGGAGTTTTTTTTCCCCCAACCCAATGGCTTCAACACTTTATTTAACACCTCTATGTTAAAGGAAGGAATTGCAGCTAAAAAGTCAAAGATATAAGAAAAAAACTAAATCAGATTTTTTAATACAGAGCAGAAATGATGTATTAAATGTTTTCAGGACTGACAAATGTATTTAGTAAAAAAACACCCTGTCTTGTAGTAACATTTGTCACAGCTTGCCATGTGCTCTTTGCACATGGCAAGCTGTGTGACAAAGAGGTTATTTGTCAACACTATTAATAACTGATATCAAATATCGGGATTAAGGGTACTTAATTTGTTTGTACACTCTTAACATTGGTTTAACTGTTTTACACTTTTGAGTAGAAAGTATCTTTTCTTCCGTGCCTGTGATCCTACAATTTAAGCACCAATATACTGCAAATGTATATTTTGCAATTGTTTCTTCTATTTAACTGCAGTGTAGAAACAATGCTGTATTTGACTCGAAGGTATTCCAGTCTTACCTTGAATATAATCTTTGACTTCTGTCACTTTTTGTAGAGAGCTGTTGAGTGTACGGTTGAGCTTGTTTTCTCTTCTTGTGAAGCTTTGAAGGTGTCCTTCGCTGCTGCTCCTGTGGACAGTAAGTTTCTCTTGGTGTGTTCCAGCGAGTATCTTTTGACCCTGTGCAGACCCCACAACATGGCAGTGTATTTTTATACTTACGGGGTGGTTTCTCGAAGCTCCCATTCAGAAGCTTCCAGAAGTTACGCTCACTACAGTCAGGGGGGTGGCAAGTGTGACACCAGAGCCCTAAAGTTGATGTGCCCTTATAGGGCTGCAGAGTTATAAGGAGTGCCTGTCACTCACAATGAAAGTTTTCCTGATAGCTGGCTGTTAGGCTCCATGCTGCCCTGTAAGCATCACAGTTGTGCATTGCCTGTGCTATCAGCTGCTGTCGTTGAACCCCATTGGACACAAATACATTATAAGGTCTCTATGGACAACAGACCCATTTCTTTTTTTGGCATGCAAGATTGGGGTGAATCTTATCTGAATATCTGAAGTAGTGTATAGACAACTACAACTATGCATCTCAGAAAACATGAGATATACATTAAAGGAATTTGCCCCCCAGATTTCCTGTCCATTGTAGTTTTATTATACCTTTAAACATAATCATAAATAATAAACTTGATTATAGTAGTTGAGTTTGTCTGGTCCACTCTAGAAATTTATCATAACTTTCAGTTGTATATCATTGCCTTCATCAGTGGATGGAGTCTGCAAACAGAATCAACCATTTTAAGATGCTTCAGGAGTTATGGGTGACAGTTACAAAGCACATTGTCTCTTTAAATGTTAGCTTACTTTGTGGATACTTAGCTGTCCATGGTCCACTGAATACAGATTTAAAAGTCAATCAATAAAGAATCCACTGTGGACTTTGCTATATACTACAGTGTAATAATAAAATTTACAAACTTATTCAAAAATTTGCTTAAAACACTATCATAAAACCACTTTTATTATTATTTATTTATTATTTTGTTCTTCTCAGTGTTACAAAGTTTACAATGCATCTTATACTAATATTTTGAGTTTGGGGAGACATGACGGGGCCAGTTTTGTATTGTTAATAGAGTAAAACAATTATAATCTGCACACTGATTTGGTAGTCCACCTGACCATCTGATGATTCTGTAGACTTGCCTTCACACCTACACCCATACATAACTTCCATTGGTATTGGTGATAATATAGCCACAGACTGACTGGAATAATTCATAGTCTTCTTTTGTTAGACAATCTTGGTAGAACAGTGTCAGTGCTTGGACAACTGAGCAGAACCAGCTCTCCGAGGTGGGCC